TGATTAAATAAACAATTGGGTAGTATTATTGAAAGTATCCTGAAGAGAACCAGAGTCTTCCGATCGAAAAATATTGATTTTCAAGAATTCTGAGCATTACAATTCCTACTTCGCTGTTTTTGGACCACCCCAATGTATAAGCATATGTGTATAAACGTCAATAAAAGTAGCTTAACCTCCCGCACACCTAAGGGTTTTTATTATGTAGCAACGATAAATAAATAACAAATGGTTTACGATTTTTATGCATAAATCTCGATGCCTGAAGTTCAAGGTTACCAAAACTCATTTTGCCACAACGCAAAGTGCTGCCTGAGTGGGCAAAAATGGAAATGGTATTTTTGTAAAGGTAATTTATCCACTAAAAACAATTAAAGAGAAATTTTGCTATGATATCAATTATTTGCCGCCAGGAAGCCACTAAAGACAACAAATTTTATACTAAGAATTTTAATCAGAGCATAGCCATGCGTAAGCTCATCACGGAAATAAATGTTGAAAATACATTCTTTGAAATAAAATGGTAGTTTGACTTTTTCCATATACATATGTATGTGTGTATACAGCAGAGAACTAGAAGAATAAAAATTAAGTTTTTTAATCGCGTTTACGATTAACTGCTTAAACTTAATCATGATTAACTGTCAGATTGATCAGATTGAATTAAACTGAACTAACTAATTGATTAAAAAATCAATCGAATACATCTCGTTCCGTTTCTGCGTTAAATTTTTTGCGAAAACTAATACATTCATTACAACAAAAGTTTAACCATCATAGTATTTTAAAGTAAAACAAAAACTTTAAGTGGATGTTAATTGAATTTAAAATATTAAGTAAAGAATTCGTTTACTGTATCCTAGTGGAAGAAAATAACAATTTTCTCTTACGATCTCTAGGCTTACTCTACGCAGATTTGAGGTTACCGCCGAAATGGGCCGACATATTTTATTCTCAATTTTAAAAATTGTTTAAATTCTTTTTTAGCACATCTGGCCACCAGTTTATATATAGTTTTGCCAGATAAAAATTGGAACATTGAACCTGAAACCAGAAGCATATATGGATAGGTACATACTTACATATATCTATATGTACATACATGGTCGTCCATACTTATTTATGTGTGTTTGTATATACAATGCCGTTCAACTAAATAGGTTCAAAAAAGTTGATTGACATATCATTAACTAACTAATAGTACTTCCCGATTATAGGAGCTGTCCAAAATGCGCGACAACCGAAGAAATTATATATGTACCTGAAAGAAAACTTGCATATTGGAAATTATTCCCATATTTTATCTAGATATATATCGTCGAAAGCAGCCGCTTTGGCGGTTAGGGCTCGATAAGTTTAACTGTAATTTTTCCGCACTTCGTGATGCATAGATTTGTTGCAGTTTTTTTCTGACAATATAAAAAATAATGTGAACGCAGTTAAAAATATTTTACTTTGACTCTGACATGCATTCTAATCAATTATAATTATCAAATAAGCAAACTACATAATGAATTAGTGTTTTGTTTGTTAAGCATAGTACTCTGTTTCATTTCACGCGAATAAGTTGTCAAAATAAATATACAAATTCCTTTTCGTGAAATATGTGTGAAATTTCTCAACATTTTCACGACGAAGTTGTATTCCGTTCTCGAATAATCTTGAAATATGTTGGCAAAATGTTTTCCCTATGTATGTAAGTATGTATGTATGTGCGTATGGACATGAATATACTTCGAGCTATGTGAAATTTGGCAAGTAATAAATTTTATACATTTTAATATTTGTTGAATATTGCGAAATTAAAAAAAAAAAAAACGTTGGTAAAGGTAAGTTTATGTTAACACGAATGAACTTCTCTTGGCCTCCCGATTATTTGACAATTAAGTTCACGTAAAATTTTTACGTTGAAAGAACTGACGAATTTACCGACGTAATTTCACGCCAGTGAAAAAAGTACTAACCGTTAAATAAATTAATTCGAAGTTAGTTGACCCGCAAGAAAGAGACATATTATTAATAAAATGGTATACATATATGCATTGCAGTAAAATTTATGTGGCTAAAATTATGAACCAGTTCAGCTGAGGGCGAGTGTACGTAATAAGTATGTACATGTGGATGTGTATGTCCCTATTTATTTTTTGTATACAGTTATTGCTGAAGTAGACAAAATATGATGTAAAAAAGCCTTACACTGGCCAACAAAATTTTGCAGCATAGTGTTTGAGAACTGATGCTATAGGATTTTTTCCGTAGCCTAAGATCTAGCTTTTAAATTATTCAATTGGCTCTAGTTTTCGAGATATTTGGGATTAAAGCTGTCGAAAAACGCATTTTTATTAAAATTTTGTAATATAACTTTTTGTAAAATAACGATGTAATGTCGAACAGCATAAAAAAATCGTATATGTACAGTATGGGTCATATCAATAGCACCGCCATTTTAAAGTGATATTGCTTCCCACTTATGTATATATATATTTTTTTGTTTTTGAGAAGTTTTAATAAAAATACAGTTCCTTTCAGAAGTGTTAGAATTCTTTGAGCATATAGTTTTATATTCAATTTTAGTGCAATAATGTATAAGTTTCAAGCAGCTAAAAATTACCGTTGATTTTTTATATTTTTCTGTCGCATAATTTATTTTTATATGGAAGAGTTCGGCAACCATTCTTCAAAAGTAATAAGTAAACATAAGTGGGAAGCAATATCACTTTGCAATGGGGGGCTAATGTTTTATATCGCCCTTTTTTCCCAAGGGGCAAAAATAAAAATTATAGCGGTATTCACAAAAGTGAGCAAGTGGCTTGGCAGTCTGGCAAACGAGCAGATTAGCTCAAGCAATCATCATCTGCTCTTTTGCCAGAGTGCCAGGCCATTTGCTCGATTTGGTGAATGCCACTTATGTGTTTCACAAACATTGGGCACAAAAATATTTTTTTATAAAAAATGTGCCGAATGCGACCATAAATATCCTCCTATTTTTCATCATCGTTAGTCCCGGGATTTGGATATTCATTACTTTTTAACAACTTAAATAGAAAAAGATAGCCTTTTTATTGTTTGAGAAGCTCTCCTACCATAAAATAAATAATAAATAAATAGGTATGAAACCTACTTGTTTATTTAAAGTGGCGTTTTTATTTTTTCTCTCTGATGTCAGGATTTATTTTAAAGCACTTTGTAATTTCAAAAATATGATTAATTCCAAAATTTTAAAAATTCAATGTAAAATATAAGTATGGGTACCAAATGGAAGAGGAAATTTCTTTAGAATTTAAAAAAATTAAAATTTTTTAGATTCACAAGGACGAATAGGGAATATTTTAAGCTGATAAAATTAGAGGGACGAAATTCACGGATATTATCGAGTTTATATAAGTCCTTAACATATAATTTTTTCAAAATCACATATTGCGAAATATCAAGGATAAAATTTTAAAAGGACATTTTCAATACTTACCAGTCCTCCTGCACCAAAAACATGAATCTGTTTAAATTCTACGGGATTTCCACTTTAATTTGATGCTTATACTTCTTCTGCAAGCACATTTCTCTGAACTTTTTAAATAATTTTTGAATTACTGATGTCAGTGTGAAAAACTAAAAACGCAATTTTACTATATTTGACCTATGGTTTCGCGAATATATTGATATTCGTGTTTAAAATTTACTATCCGACATTTATAAAAAAATATTAATTACTAAATAAAAAAAGAAATATAGCTAATACTGGTCAAGAAAAGGAGTTTCTATTATTGCCATCAGTGAAAATTACAAATCCCGAAAATCCCGGGATTATTTGCCAACAATTCCGGGATTTTTGGGACCTTACCATTCCTAGTGTATACATATAATCAAAAAGAACAAATTTTCGAAATATTTAGAAGTTAAACTGAGCTTCTAAAAGAGAACTGGTACGAAAATTAAATAAATTTGATCAAAAAATGCAATTCCTCGTCTATATCTTTTTACAGAAATTAAAAAATGCCAAAAATCGGTTTTTTACACTCACATCTCAAAAACAAGAGCCAATTGAATAATTTTAATGTCAGATTCTGGTTCATCGGAAAAAATAATATAAGGACCAGTAGTCACTGGTTGTGCCGTATGCAGTTGTTAGAATTTTGTTGGGCTGTGTTATCAATAAATCATTGCCGCACTTAAACGCCGGCCCCCAAATACTTTCCAAATAAGTTTGTGTGTATGTATGCTTACTATGTGCACAAACTATACACATACACAAATGTGCTTATACAAAAGGCTGATTAAATATAAGCCCGCAAAGTTCTTGAAGCAGTGCGTATTCAGCCAAAGGGGTACGATTTGACGAGAAAAAGACTCATAGGAAAAAAGACAATGGCTTCCTAAAACTTAGACAAAAAAAGCAAAAAAAAAAAATGTATCTGAACTTTACTAAAATATCATATTAAACTTGGTTAACTTGAGAGAGAGTAAACTAATACAATACATATAAGAGAAAATTTCTGGTGAATGGGCCACTGACAGATGACAATTGGTGCTTGAATGGCATGAACCTACACTTCCATGTGAGCTTTTTTGAAGGGGTGTAAACAAATTAGTCTTTTTAGATTGTCGAAAACAGATAATAGTTTTGCATTCGATGCAGGAGAATTTAATGCGTACATATGTGTGTATGCATTTTTTTTTTTTATTCTCAATGTCCATAAAACCCCCTTTTGGCCGCCCTTGTTCATGTAGCGAAATATAATTTATTTTTAAGTAATCATAAATAAACACCACATATGTATTTATGTATGTATGCCCACATAAAAAAGAAGATACATACGTATGTACGTAGATATTTAAATATGTACGCATGTGCTTATGTACATACATATGTATACACATATGACGCCTTTGTATCTACCCAGTAATAAACTTTCCGAATTTTGCAAAAAATTCAAACAATTTCAAACGCAAATCACGTTGTTTTTTTTTTTACTTTTCTCGTTTGACGATAGTCCCTCCAATAGGTGGAATTTATGCAGCCGGTATAAAAATATTTTGTTAGTCGTATCTGTGCAGATGTTCAAATAACATTCTAGCTAAATTAGTGATTCATCTAAATATAAATTTCCTAAGATAGTACTTATTTAGCTTTTAATTGCTTAGTTCTGGATTGTGTAATTCTTCTTTCAATTCCACCCACTTTTGTTGTCTAATGGGTACTTTAGCGCCAGCATACTGCAGTGCACTTAAGTAAAAGTGTGCATATGCATATGCAGGTAGATACATGCATATGAATATGTATGTACATACATATATAAAAATTTCAAATACTGCAAATTGTTAATTCGCGATCGATGAATGAGCGCGATCAGTGACGTCTATATTTAGCGAAATAGCGGTTTGTTTACTGATATTTTTTTTTTTACATACATAATGTTCTTAACTTGATAGATTACAACAACGCAGACGCAGGCACGTGTATAATAAGCATATACGAGTGATCGGTAACAAAATTGATGGGAGCAGTGGCAATAGAATCAGCAGCAGCAGCAGCAGCAGCAGCAGTGAGGGTAGTAGTGACGACAAACAATATGATTATAGTATTAAACAAAAATGTGAGACTCCGCCGTCCTAGTGATCGAAATAACTACGACTGCATGCCAGTTTGTCTTAGCAATGGGTGGCAGCATGTACTGTCGCACCTGTGCAGCAATTCCTGGTCACACAGCCGACAAAATGATCGACATTTTCGCAAACGCTAAAATAGTTACACTTTTAAATACTCTGAAGGAATGGAAATTGAATATTACGCCGGGTGATCACTTGCCCCATAGTATTTGTGAGAAGTGTGAATTGGCGCTAATGCAAATGGATAAATTTAGAGTACAAGCATTGAATGCTAAAACGTACCTGCAATCGCAATTGCTTTCGTTGGAGACGACGACGACTGGGTATGCGGACGCAATCAGCGACAATGAAAATGACCTTCAAGCTGAAACAAATTGCGGTGGAGTGAAGACGTTCAACGAGGAAGCCATACTGGGCACATTCTCAACAGTATTAACCGAGATCAAAGCTGTGCATGTGGATCAAGAGTTATCGAACAATACTACTGCAAGCACAAACGAGAAAGAGAACGAAGAACAATTGAATAGCTTAGAATCGGGTTTGATTGCAGTCAACGGGCAAACCGGTGAGTTATCGTTTGATTCGAATATTGAGTCTAGCAGACCACCCGATTTTCAGGTAGTACTAATTGAAGAGGAGGAGCACATAGAATTACAGTGGATTAATGAAGACGAAAATGCTGTCGAGAAGGGAGTTCAAATAACAGATAATGAAAGTTCCGAATGCAGCGAGCACATGGGAGAGTTCGAAGCACAATTTGACATCAATAATAACTCAGCAGACACTACGATATCTGAGCATATGATTTGTAATAGCATAAAGCGACTCCGAGGTAAAAGTGAGCTATCAGAAAAAGGAGGAGAAGTCTTTTTAGTTAATAATATTCCAATTGAATCGCAAGAACCCATAAGACGATCAATTAAATTGAACAAACATTTTGAAAAAAATGAAGGTAAAGAAAAGTCTTGTACAATTTCACAAAATCATAAAGGTGAAGAAAATCGTACTACAGAAATCCAAAAGTACAATGTACTTTCCGATGTTTATACATTGTCAACATCTGGCGATTTGGAAAAGACTAATCAACTCTCATTGGGCTTCACACAAACCCTAAATCAAATGTCAGCCCCTACGTTCGATGCAATGGATTTCACGGCAGAACATCAAGCGCAAATAAATGAATTTGAAGCATTGTTAGCTGCAATAAATAAACAAGTGGCTTCGTTTGAATCTAGCAAAGAGCCAAATATGTATTCGATCGATGAATTACAATCAGTGCTAATGAGTGACCTTACACTACAGATGATCGACGCAAATGTAAACATCTTGGAAGAAGATTTACAAATAGACGAATTTGAGTCATTGCTGGCATCAGTTGATGAACAAGCTTCCACATTGGGATCGATAAGATCGTCCAAGAGAAAGACAGAACCGGATGAAGCATCTGCATCCACAGATCCAAAAACTGAACCTTCAAAGGAATTGGCAAACACTGTAAAAATATTCCCTCATCATTCTGACATGGAAAAAAAGGAAACAACAATACATACGCCTATGTGCGACAAAAAAAATATCGAGCCAAAAACTTCGGACACGTGCGCAACGGAGCTGCTATCTAATGTTACACTTTATGCCCACGATCAGATATTGCCAAATGTTGTAAAACGCATAGATTGTGTTGATAATGCATCAAACGAATCTCATAGAAATGCAGATATTGAAGATTTGTTAGCCGAAGCTAGTATGCGCAAAAATAAAAACGGATGTGATGACAACGGAAATACGCCTCCGCTGATCAATAAGGCCCAACACAAAATTTTCACTGTGCACGCACGTTCAGATAAGAAACTTTCAAATAAATTTCGTTGTCGCCTGTGCGTGTACAAAGTATCCGAACAGCCAGCCTTCGATACTGCAGAGCTCCTCGAGGAACACATAGCATCAATACATGATGACAAAGAGCGCCCATATAACTGTCCTGATTGCGCGGCGCGATATCGAACCCGTAGCGGCTGTGTAGCACACATAAATGCCATACATCTCAAAAAAGGCGACAGCTGCGAGTTGTGCGGCAAAGTTGTTGCCGGCGGATCTGGTCAAATGCGCATGCACATGGAGCGCAATCACACACATGGAAACTACACCTGTGAAATTTGTAACCTGGAGCTGAAAAATGTTTCACTTTATAATTTTAAATATCACAAGAGGTGGCACAATGAAGAGAAATTATGGCGCTGCGAACTCTGTGAGAAAGCATTTGTAACGCGCACTCATCTGATGGCACACAAAGTAAAACACACGCGCCAGGGCGAATTTCTATGTACACGATGTGGAAAGAGTAAGCAAAAACTGCAACTCTCTTATTATTTTTGTTATTGATTTTTGTAACTACATATTTTTAATAGTTGCACCTTTTCGATTACAAGTTAACCTTAAGCTACAAAATCTAAAAGCTAATACTTAACATAATAGATATACATACATATATATGAGCAAATCTCTCGAGTTGATACATTTTTCGACACATGAAAATACGCAAAGATGTTTTGTATGAAATATGAGCAGAAAAGCGTATTACTCAGGTGTACGTGGCGTATGAGTAACTTTCTTTCCTGCTCAATTTTCATACAAAAAAAATCTTTGCTTATTTTATTTGACCACTTATTACTTCTTTATTGACTTGATTTTTTTTTGTAACAGAACAGGTTTTACAGTTATATTTTTTTCATTTCTTCATTAAAAAACAAAAAGGGGAATGATTAATTAATTTGTCAGAAACTATCACTCCTATCGGAAAGTGATGTATATATGGTTTATGGAGAATTTTATTAGCTTTGATTTGACGTATCTTATTTTAAGATTGTTAAATTGGTTCGTAAGATATACATACGTGTTTAAGTGGAACCCCTTTTTGGGTTTTAAACTGAATAACGGCAAATTGATTTTCGGAACCCGTCCGAAAATCACATTATTTGAAAACAATTTTATTTTTAATATTTACTTTGCTACATATGTACATATGTATGTATGTGGCCGCTGCGGCTGAGTGGTTAGAAGTGCGTACTACCACTCCGTAGGACCTGGGTTCGATCCCTAGGCTGTGCTAGATATTGTAGAGTTTTCTATTAGCGGTCATCCCCCGGCAAGCAATGGCAAACTCCGAGTGCCACGAAAAAGCTTCTCATAAAAATACAATCGCTGTTCGGAGTCGGCGTAAAACTGTAGGTCCCTCCGCTTTGTGTGACAATTTCAAAGCGCACGCCACAAGTCGGAGGAGAAGCTCGGCCAAACACTAACATATGTGTAAGCGCCTATCTATTACTATTATTATTATTTAAGGTTTGGAAAATCGCGAGTCTAGTCGAGTAGACAAAAACAACACACTCAGAATTTTGAATTCACACTCAAAATCTTGGCTTAATGTTGGCATCCTCCTTTTCGGTAGGTTGGAGCTTACACTAGGCCTTAACCTCATATGTACATGTATACCTCTGGTCAAAATAATATGAGTGCGATATTTGACTATTTTTTTTTTCCTTTCTTTAATAACCATATATAACAACAACCATATCCAAACTTCAAACTTCGTCCGAAAATTAGAAAAAATCTACAAACTTCAACGAAATTTCATCATATCTCATTAAATTTGAATTTAATATGATATGTGCAAGTTTAAATTACATATCTTAATATCCGCACCGATTTTTAACTTTTTTCTGGCGGTTAAAGCTTAAACAGACGGCAGTGTTGATCCGGATTAGCTCGGGCTTAATCCGGATCAACTGCTGTTAATTCCCGAGTTGATCCGGACCAACGCTGCCATCTGTTTATACTTTTATGTGCATTTTCTTCCATATAAAAACATTTCAATAATTTTTTATATGGGCGAAATTATTACTAACAGAGATGCCATTTCGGTTCGGCTTTGCCATTTCAAAATAAAAAGTGTTCGGTTCGTGGTTCGGTTCGAAGCCCGAAAAAAGCGACGCTTCGGTTCAAGAACCGGTTTGCAGCCCTGGAAAAAAAGTCCAAAACGCTGTCAACAAAAAAAAAAAAAATTATTAAAAATCAATGCGAATTTTTAGCCGCTCAAAGCTTGCACCTATTTTACTAGAATTTTATAAGCTTGTTAACTGCATACCCAAAATATTTGTAAAAATTCTGGTTAAAAAGCTCGAAAGTTAGATAAAAATTTTTGGAATTTTTCTAAGTTCTGTATAAAGTTTGAAAGTTTGATTTGACCAGATTTTGTTAAAGCATGAAGGTTTATAAAAAAATATCAGAAAAATTTTAACTTGAAAAACATTGTAAATATTCGAAACGAAACACCATTCATCCATTTTGAGCGCCACTGTAAATACTCCTTATAGATAAGTACATATGTACATCGGAAATGCTTTTTTTTAATTTCAAGACCCTATCCCCTAATTTTATTCGTTTTTATGAGAAATATTATTGCCTATTATTATCGATTTTTTTTAAGTCAATTAGAGGCCGCGACCTGTCGATTTAGGTAAGAAAATACGATTTTGTAGATTTATGAGTTTTTAAATGACTATTTTTGATTCGATTTCAAAGATCGAATATGATCTGAGAAGAGGAGAATAAATAAAATGTAGGAGAATAAATAAATTAATTCCAAATATTTTAACTTGTTTCTCTCTTAAGTGAACTTAAACAGATATTTATTTCAACGATTTTATATCTTCGTAGGCACGCGCAGTAAATGGGAACTTCGTGCACA